TATAATATAAGTAATAATAAGCAAAGACACACACTGAAACACATGGACCATAAACACACAAACCAAAGCACATAAAATATACATCAAAACAAACATGCAGAAATCAATTTGCAGGTTTTACTAATAAAAATAAAATAAAAAAGTGCTGATGATAATTGTAATAATTAAGAAAAGAAAACTAAAACAATATTTAAATCATAAGGATAATAATGCCAAAAAATTAGAATAAAATGTTTTTTAGAATTTTTTTAAATTGATATTGTTTAAGATGGAGTAAAGGTATTTTAGGATATATTTTTATAGATTCATTCAAAATGAATGCAAGGCTCCTGTTCCATTCACAGACACACTGATAAACGATAGAACGTTTACCATACTTTTGGGTTTTCAAAGATGGTACATTTAGTTTTCCATTGTGTATATTTCGAGTCGAGTAGGAATGTAATAGTCTACTTTCTGTGAACAAGTTTATGATAGGAGATGGTATATTTTTATTTAAAGAGTCAAAAACAAAAAGAAGATTAGCATACTTTACTAGCGCTGGAAATGTTGGAATGAAAAGTTTTTTGAAGGACTTTGATGTATCTGATTTAATTGGTTGAAAGTTTATTAATCTGATGGATTGACGCTGAGACAATAGCAACTTGTTAATGCGATGGCTTACAACTTGACCCCAAACTTGACAACAATAGCTAAGATGAGATGAGAATAATACATACTAAATACTCCTAAGTGTAACTTTATTGACATAATGACGAATTATTGAAAGCATACAGTTAGCTCGTTTCTTGCTTAGTTCATCAATATGAAAGTTCCATGAAAGATTACAATCAATTAATACACCAAGATATTTAATAACTCTTGAAGGATATAGCCGTTTATTATTTTGTTGATAAGGTCGTTAACATAGATTAAAAACAAAAGAGGACCTAGAACAGAACCTTGAGGAACACCACACAAAACTGATTTATAACTAGAACTGAAACCATTAATACATTAATATAATTTGTTTTCAATCTGCAAGATAAGATCGAAACCAGTCATTTACAATACCACGAATTCCATAATGTTTTAATTTAGAAATAAAAATAATATGGACAACAGTATCGAAAGCTTTTTGTAAATTGATAAAAACACTACAAACAAAATGACCAGTATCAAGACCTTTCCTGATTTTTTCCGTTATACTTATTAATGCATGGCGAGTTGAATGTTTTGATCAAAAACAAAATTAAAAATCATTTAAACAATTAAACGAGTTTAGAAAAGAGTACACTCTAGAATACATAAGTTTTTCAAGAAGCTTACTAATATTAGATAAAAGAGAAATAGGTCTGTAGTTAGTGCATGAAAGTTTAGAGCCATTTTTAAATATTGGATTAACGCAAAATAATTTCAAAATATCAGGAAATTTTCCATTTATAAATGAGATATTAAATAGTTTAGAAAGAATATTTGAAAAATTGTAGTTAAAATCTATTAGAATATTTGTGGGAATACTGTTTGGACCTAATGATGTTTTTGGATTCAATTTAGATATAAGAGATGAAATTTCAGAAATATTTGTTGGAGATAATAATAAACTATGTAAATTTGGATGTCTAAGATATTTTTGATAGTTAATGTAAGATGAATGAATATTGGATTTGAGTTTATGAGCAACATTTGTAAAAAATTGTTAAATGATTCAGAGATTAATGTTGGGTCAGTTATATATGTATCATTTTCTTGCAAACAGTTGGGAAATGATTTATTCAAATTTTTTACATTAATTAGAGTGTTACTACCTTTCCAAAGTTCGCGAAGATTTTTTACATTTTCTGAGAAAAAAATTTTAAAATAGTTTTTTATACTAAGTTTAATTAATGTAACTTTCATACATTTATATCTTTTATAAATACTTTCAAATTTTTTTTGATTTATAAGATCTTTAGATCTTAACAATTTTTTTTTGGAAAAGATTGCGCACTTGAATAGATTTTATAATTCCTTTTGTAATCCATGGTTTGAATAGACATTTGAAGTTTTTTATACTGGTTTTTTTAAGTGGGGCGTAACGATCTAAAATCGATGTTGTTTCAGTAATAAACATTTGGAAACATGTGTTAGTATCATTGGACTTTGTTATACCGTCCCAGTCAATTTTTGATAAATCATATTTAAAGTTTTCTTTATTAAAGTTTTTAAAACTCCTGCTATATAAATTGTGTCTGTGTGGTATAAATAATTTATTGAAATTGGGACAAATACAAATTTGAGGTAAGTGATCAGAAACAGAAGTTGTCAAATTTCCTGAAACAATTTCATTAGCTATTAAACTAGAGAAAATATTATCAACAATTGTAGCAGAGTGATCAGTAATTCTAGTCGGCAAAGTGATAAAAGGGCGAATATTATAAAAAGAAAATAAGTTAAAAAAATCAGATGTCGCAATGTCATTATTTGATTGCATCAGATCAATATTATAATCACCAAGTAAAAAAACAGATTTATTTTCAGCAGATATTGTTTGAAGTAAGACAGACATGATATTATTAAAAATATTAAAATCTATGCAAGGGTGTCTATAAATGCAACCAAAAATAATATTAGACTTTTTAGAAAAAATAACTTCAACAAATGTGGATTCTAAACAATTAGGTGTATAAATCATTAAATCATCTCTTCGTTTGTATATTAGTTTTTTTTGACTAATATAGTAATGTAAAGCCACAAGAGGATTCCGTTGGTGTCTGCTCAATGTTGTAATTATCAATGAGAATCGGATGAATTGAGGATGCTTTTTTTTTTAACCTTGTTTTAGTTATACCAATAATGGAAAAATCAAAATTAATTAATGATAATATTATGTTTAAATCCTCAAAGTGTTTTTGTAACGATAATATGCTTAGATGAAAAAAGGAGAGAGCGCTTATTTTATTAAAATTAAGTGTACATAATTCGCTTATGCCATAATATTTACAAAATATGTCTAATGAAGAATAAATTTCTTCCTCAGAATTCTAAACACGAGATGAAACATAATTATTAATTTGATTTGAGACTTTATTTAAATGAAAAGACAGGAAAAGGTTTGTAGATAGAGGTAAATCATCAGTTTTAAGAATTATATCAGAAGAAAATAGCAATTTAAATTCATTATCTTGTACATCTGTGAATGGGAAGACACTTTTAATACAGTTTAAACAACTCTGCAACAAGCGACTTAATTGTAGTAAACTGTACTTAGTATCATTAAGCCTGTCACATTTTGTATGAGACCAAAATAAACAAATATTACATTGAGATCAGGGCTGTGAAGTCGGAGTCGGAGTTGGGGAGTTACGACAATTTTAGCAGAATCGGAGTCGCTAAAAAATATAGCGACTCCGACTCCGATAGTAATATTTCTTGGTATTGCACGTGCATGTACAAAACATTTAATTAACCTTATGTTTGTACTAAACCTCAAAGAACGTTGCATAAATTTGTCACAAAAAAAAAATTTCAACTTATCACGCAATATTTTTTAAAGAATTCAAAGAATTTTTCAAAAATTTTGCTTTGGAGTTGGAGTCAGAGCTGGAGTCGGAGTTGTACTCAAAAAATTTCAACAACTGGAGTTGGAATCGTTACTTTTTTTTTACTCCACACCCCTGATTGAGATGAGCGGCAACTTTGACTAATTAATTTTTTACACAAATGACAGTTTAAAGCCATAGTAGAACCGCAATATAAGAATGTAAGAAACAATAAGTAGGAAGTAAATAGCTATGTTATTAATATTTGTTAAAATAAAATAATGCGTATGAATAGATAATTAAGAACAACCATTTAAAGTATCGAAAAACTATCAATTATAATAAATAATATTAATGGTAGTTAAACAATAATGCAACAGCCAAACAAACAGTAAACTATAACAAAAAAAAAATTTTGAAGAAAATTATAAAATCAGACTAAAAGAGTAAAAAAACTAATTAAAGTTAAGAGAAATGTAAATTAAAAAATATTAAATATTATATATAAAAAAATTTTTATTTTAAGTGAGGTCACATAAGTGTTAGCTCACTTAGAATATACATTTCAAACATACTAGACTAAAGTTTTTATTTTAAGTGAGGTCACATAAGTGTTAGCTCACTTAGAATATACATTTCAAACATACTAGACTAAAGATTTCAATCTTATAGAAAGACTCCAACAACAACCAACAAAAAAGAGTGTACCAAAAGAAATTAACTATGAAAAATGATTCAAAAAGATAAAACTTCCAAAATTAGTTGAAAGAAGATTATGAAGTGATGTAATTCAAATATTTAGATCACAAAACAGTATAAAATTGTAATAAATCTGAATAAGTAATTAGTACTACAAGAGGGCAAACTAGGAAGAAAAATATGAAAAAACTGACTTTATAAATATAATTTCATTACAAACAATGTTGAAGTAGCTTGGAATATACTCAATGAAGATATTGTATATATGAGATCAATAAATGATTTTAAAACTAAACATTTTAATGAACAACAGGTGTTAAAGTCTTATATTTCCTTAGTAAGAGACTTTACTGAGTAAAACAAGAATACAGCAACTTATTTTATATTTATAACCCACGCAGCAAAAAGCAAAAAAATTTGTTACAATGTTGTAGTTTAAAAAACAAAATACAAATTTTGTCAGCAAACAGACATTCATTTCAGCTTTGCATAAGTTATATTTTGGAATTAAAAATTATTTTTAAAAACTAATGGTTTTAATTTACAAACCTATTTAAGTTTATTTAATATTATTTAAAATTATGTAAATTGTATAACAAATATTATACTTTAACTTGAAAAGAATGCACTAATTTATTAAACCATGTGAGTGCATAAAGATAATAACTAACATTATTTTTATAATAACTTAGTTTTTGGCCTAGCATATTCACCAACTAAATATTAAAGTTATTAAGGAATAAAATGGATACAAAATAATAAATAGATTTAAAAATCAAATAAAATATTCTAAAAAATTACCTATCACCATTTCTGTGAGATGACGAACTACATTTTCCAGGGCATACAACACAGTTTCCATTCTTCATTGATGCACAATCTTGTTTACCATCTCCTTTAATACTGCAAGGATCATGGCAAGTATAATGACAAGCTACACAGTTAGTAATGTAATGATCTACTATTTTTGTTGACTGAGGATAAATAGTTTTCTTGACTTTGAAATCTTTGTTAGATTTCATTGTGCCTTTCAATTCTAAAACTACTTTAGAGACATTTTCCATTGAAGCTAATGTTTCAAATTGATCATGGATGATTTTTTGTACATTATCTAAATAAATGTGTAAATTTTCTCTTTCCTTTAACACTATCTTGGTTAATACTAAACTTGCTGGTTGTACTGTTTTAACATGGAGAAAAAACTTTTCAAGATTTGTTATTCCAGCCTCCCAAAAATACAAGTTAGATTTATCATCCCTTGAAGAATAGAGGGCTGAGTTGTTAAATTTGAAAACTGCTTCTTTGGCATAAGGAACATTTTCATTTTTGATTGCATTTAAGGCAGGAGGAGGTTGAGCATCAGCATATGTAAAAAGCAAACTGATATTATTCTGTACATTATTTCCAAAGATGTTAAGAACTGCATTAAATATATATTTTTGTTCATCATTAACTTTCGAATCACTTGCTTTAACAACAAATCCAATACTAGAGAGCTCACTAATTGGATAGATCTTATCAGAGAAAAACTCCTTATAAATTTTGTGAATAAAATCATCATAGTTTATACCACGTGTGTCACCTAGACCAGGGGTATCTATAATTACCAAGTTAAATGGAATCCTAAAACCCTCCTCATAATAAAGAGTATAACTGGTTATCCATCTTGTCATACTTGCAGTTGTTGAATTGTTGTTTTCATTTGGATGTCGATCAGATATTTCCTCCTCTTCAAAAACTATTTGGAAACGAAAACCATCATTGAAGTTGATTCCATACACATAATTTACAATATTGTTGACCATTAATGTCTTTCCAGAACCAGTCTGACCTGTCATCATAACAAACTTATTTGGTTTATCATAATAATTCTCTGATCCAAATGAAAAGTGTCTGTACTGATGTTGCTTGCTCTAAAATCAGATGAAACAGCATAATTTCAATTTATAGCAATTATTACTTATAAATAAAGAATACTATATATTCTATATACTAAATATATAATACTATACATTCATAAATTTATTTTACCAAAATCAAAATCTTGTTATTAATCATCAAAGAAAAAAATTAACAAAACCAGTACAGCTATGTTTACCAATTAGAGAAGATTCAGCAACACTTAAAATAAAATTTTTGACTTTATCTAAAAATAATATTATAAGAACCAACCCAAATATGAAAAAAGTATTCTATACAAAAAAACAAATAAAAAATTAATAAAGTTGGAAAATTGATTCAGGAGTATGAAAATGGCAAGTAAAATAAGGAGAAGAAGCCATAACAAATACTAACTTTGTGATTAAATGTATAAATGGTTTCCATCAATAACAAATGATAAACTGAGAAAACATAAAGTAGGGGACTCAGAAAAGGTGTCAATTTAGAGCTACCTACAATATTGAAATAATGAATGGTAAAAAAACCTGTTAAATGACCATCACAAAGAAAATCAGGAAAAGAATCCTACTAAGTTTTCAAGATGGTATTTAAAAAGAGCATTTCTGGGAGTTTATCTATATAAGTAGAAAAACTTTAGTGAGATTATTCCAGTATCAAATCTAAATGAGAACAAGGAGATGCTGAGTCACCAATAACTTAATAATTTGTTAAAGGATAGTTAAAAATGACACAGCCATTTCAAAAACAACATCAAGTATAATCAGAAACAACATTAAAAAGAGTAAAATCTTAGAGAAGTAAAATGATAAAGAAGAAAAAGATTGTGCGAAGAGGTTCTAGAGAAAGCACTTAAGAAAATAGCTAGAGGCTTCCTTAAATTGAGTTTTATAGCTGTACCCTTATTTTAAGATAACTAAAAGAGTTGCATAGCAACTAACCAATTAGACAGAGTTAAAAACTTATAAGTTTAGTCAAAAAAAAATCCAGTGATCTTCATTCTATGCAGAAAACATATTTAAAAGTATATTTATATATTTTTAAATATGGATATATCATATATCAGAGGTGTACACTCATGGTCACTTGACGGTACGAGATGACCAAATTTTGTGAAGGGTGACTAGAAATAATCTTTTGATGCAATAAAGTCGCCTGAAAGCGTGACTATTGATTTTTGTCTGCAGTTTTAATTTATTTTTTTTTGATTCAAGAATTTTATAAAAAGAAAAGTATCTATCTAAAATAATAATAAAACTATATTTTAAAAGTTACACACACAAATTTCGTTGAAAAAAAAAAGTTTTAGAGAGCCGTTACAATTAAATAAGTTTGATATTAAATGCTTTTATATTATTGAAACACTTTTCTATGAAGTAACAAAACATTTCTAATTAATTTTTAAAATAAGTATTAATAAACTGTTGTTGTTTTTATTTAAATAACTATGTATTTTTTATGAGAAATGTTTATCTTTTGAAACATATTAAATTAAAAAAAAAAAAGTACAAATGTTAAAATAAAGATTGAAATGGTTTTTTAATGCGTAAATTAAATAGACTAAGCATTTTAGTTTGATGAGTTTTGTTTTAGTTAGGTTATATATATATTTATTTTAGATAAGTTTAGGTAAGTTTTTGTAGCGCATTTTTAAATTTTGAAAATATGTTAAAATATGTTAATATTTTAAAATATGTAATTATTTTAAAATCTGTGGTCAAATCATTAAAAATATTATTTCTTGCGTGGTCATATAAAAATGTGCGATAGATAGATGTACCTTCTAGTGAAAGCCTGCTTTGTATATATTATTATATATCACTTCAGGGCTCGTTTTGAATAAAAAATGCTTAATGCAATAGCCTTCATAGAATAGCCTTATGTGAATTTGACATCATAAAATTCTTTTTATTTTTTTATTTTTTAAACACTTTAATTTTTTTAAATTACTGCAATAATATTAATTACCGCAAAACAAGTTGAATTTTATTTAACTTCTTTTTTATTATTACTATAAGAGAATGTTCAATTTTTTTTTTTTTTTTTCTTTTTATATTTAATAATTAAATTTAATATTACATTAAAAAAAATGCTTGATATTAACATTTCTTTCTTTTCTCAACATTTGCATAAATAAATTAAAATATGTTAAATTTTTGAATTTTTAAATGATAATTTTTTAAATTTCTAATTGCAGCTATGCAACTACAAATGATTTTTGATTTTAAAAAAAGGAGCGAGGAACAAATAACAAAGTTGCATTAATTTATTTACTATATTTATTAAAAGTTAATTATTTTATTAAGGATTTTGTTGTGAAAGCAACGATTATTTTTCCAAATATCATTTATTAAAATTACATCACTGTATATATTTTTTATTAAGAAATAATAACTGCAATTTAACTTGCATTATAAAAAAAAAACAATTGCAATTAAAATAAGCTTATTTTTTTTTAAAACAAATAAACTTCAATATTCAATATAATTTAGTATTATTTTTAAATAAATTTGACAGTTAAACTCAAACATTAACTTTAATTTTAACAAACTTAAATATATTTTTTAATCAAAATTAAATTACTTTTTTTATCATAATAAAATTATATATTTTTGTTAAATTAGTTTTAAATTAAATTGTATATATTTTTAATTATGAACTAAATTATGTTATTGTGATCTTCAAGCTTTAAGTATTAGGGTTAATCAAGCAAAAAAAAATCAATCGTTACAATAAAATAAAAACAAAGTAAAAATGAATTTTTAATTTTTAGTTTTTTCATTACTAAATAGTGCTTATATCTAACATAGTCAATCAGCCTTTTGTAACAAATATTTTTACATAAACGTCATTCAAAAGTTAATGTGACTTTTTTAAAATTAATTACTTCTTTGAACTTACCACTTAAAGAATAATTTAAAAGTTTAAAAATGATAAAAATAGCTAACCAAAATCACTTAAAGGCGTACATAAATTGCTTTACACGCAACACTTTAAAACAAGGCCTGCATTTTAATTTGTGTTTAAAGTTTTAAAATCTAATGTCCTGTTGTTTTCAATTCAACATAATGAAAATAAAAGTTGCAGTGTAAGTAAGATGGTATATATTATATAGCATAGAAGTTATGATTTAATATAAATACTACATAATACCTGTTTAGAAAAGCCAAAAATTAAATCAGGATCAATTTTAACTTAACGGCTAAAAAAACTGAAAAACTTTAATATAGTTTTATATTATTTACAAACCTCATAAATTTTATTAACTGGAAGCTTGAAGATCTCAAGACCATTTTCATCTTTAATCTTTACTGCTCTCTTTTTTACATCATTGGCAAGTTTACTTTCTTTAGTTGCAGAAAATTGTTCTAACAACTGTGTCAACTCTATCTTCCGATTTTTTAATTCATTTGAGTAACATTCAGAAAAATTTCTGAACTCTGAGTAATATTGCTCATATTTTAAACTATCTTTTGAAAACTCAATTT